CCCCTCCCCACCCCATGTGCTGACCTGGTAGAAGCCGACCGTGTTGACCAGCAGGCTGATGTTGAGGCTGGCGATGGACAGGTTGGCAATGACCGAAAAGTACAGGTTGTCTGGGGGTTTCAAAGGGGGCGGAGGGTGGAAGGGCGGGAAGGAGGGCAGGCGTGGATGGTGGGTGGGGCCGCCGATGGCGTGGGGTAGAGCGCGATCCACATGGTTGGCAGGGCGGTGCCAAAGCTTGGCAGGCCAGGGTTGCGAACGCGCGGTCCCGTGGGCGCCTGAACGCACAGCCGCCCCTGCAATTGGGTTTGCCTGCCCAAAGCGGCTGGCTGGCGTTCGGCCGTTCGACTGACCCCCATGAATTGAATGCACGCTTTCACCCACCACCGTGCATGCAGGCCAGAAGCCGCACCCTGCCCGCTGCGGTCCGCGCGCCGCACCTCTCCATGGTAGCTTTGGGTGCTGCACGCCTGTTATCAATGACTGCAGCTTCAGGCTGAAGGCTGACGCCAGGAAATGCAGCGCTGACAGGGTCGTGGCTGCGCATCAACGTGGGAGCGTGTGAGGGGTGTGAGCGGCGAGAGGCGCACGCGCCTGTTGCTGATGCTCCCACCCACCTGTGCTCGTGAGCGGTGGGATGCTGCAGTATGGCGCGAAGCAGCGCAGCAGTTCTATAGTTGCCTTTGACAAGGCGGGAGAGCGGCAGCTTGCAGGAAGCGGAGACCTCGGCATTCCTTCGTGCAACCGCCTTCCAACCGCTGCGCACACGGGCACAGCGGCTTTTCCCGTGCCCCACACGCACCAAAGGTAAACTTGTGCCCCTTCTTCGGATCAATAAGGGCCTGTGCGAGCAGCCAACAAGCAAAAATTGTGCTTTGTCTGCTGCTGCTGGATGAATGCGCAACCCGATTTGATGCACAGCCGCTGCATGCTGGGGGCGACGCATCGACGCAGCAGGGTGGGGACGTCTGTCTGACGTATCTGTGCGGCCATTGTGACTACCAATAGCTAACCATTGCGCTGAATCAAGCCGCAAACTGGGCGCTCTCACCTTGTTCACAAAGACGATGATCACGCTGGTGGACACGTTCATGAACCATGCCAGCACATCATAGAGCTGTTTCTGGGCAGGGCTCTCCATGGCTGCGGCAAGCCAGTGTACCGAGCGGTCCTCGCTACGGTACTACTTCTCCGGTTGTTCTAGGCGTCAAGGAGTTCAGCCACCCCGTGAATTATATCTTTCCTTGTTCTTCAAAAAGACAGACTGTGCCTCCCTAGCCGGCGGGGCGCTCCTGATCACAAGCGCACTGGTTGGGGATGCTGTTGAGGTGCTTTGAATTCATGAGTTGCTGCTCAGGCGGGTAGGATGTAGCTAGCCCATCGCTTCAAACACTCACAGACACATTCAGTTCGAGCTGTATATCATATGAGGAAGGCATCATCAATGCCGTCGTCACCGGGTGAGATGCGAACAGGGCAGCTGCGGCGGACAGGAGGCAGGGGTCATCACCCATGCCACCCCGAGGGCCTCATCCACCAAGCTGCCCGAGGGATGTGGAACCAGATGGCAAAGACACTTGACAGCTGCTGGTTGTCACACGGATGTACGTGCCACCAAACACCGATCCCTTCCAGCAAATACAGGGGGTTTCACAAAGGTTGTCCTGTTCCTTCGCACGCGGCTCAAGGGGCCAACTGATAACACCTGGTGGGAAGGAGGGACCAAGCTGCTGCTGCTCCCTACAAAACTACTGGAGCTTCAAACCACCAACACCACATGCAACATGCGGCTTTCCGAGGCATGGCGGAAGTCACGCGTCCTGTCAGTCACATGCACACGCCCTGTCAGCATGCGTGGGTTGTGCGGGTCTGTGACCGACGCTACAAATGCTGCTCGAATCAGGGCAACAAGCGGACCTGCTAATCAAACCTCATGTGGTATCCTCTTGAGCACTGACGCACACTCCGCCATGTATTTTGGTGTCCTGCAAAACCCCAAGCATCCTTCAGGGGTCAGGCCACTCGAAAATGCGGGCGCCGCTGTGCTTGTCCCCTCAGTGTCGGGGTGATGGGCCTTGACGCCGTGCTTGGGCCTTGGCCCCTCACCCAGGGAAGGCTGGGAAGGCCGGGAACGTGATCGGCGAGAAGCCCGGGAACGAGGAGCCGAATGATGGGAGCGAGGGGAACCCCGGGATGCTGCAGGAAAGGAGTGGGGGTGCGGGGGAGCACAGTGGTGCGGGCGGGGGCGTGGTCAGCGGGATGCAGTGCTTTGTGGGAAGCTGAGCAGGGTGGGGTCTGCTTCTGCCACCAGCACGCGGGCGAGCGGTGGGGCAGCGGATGGTAAGCAGGCATGGAGTGCACTGAGCGTTGCGCAGAGTCAGGAGCAGTGGGCCCCTCACTTGAAGGCGAACCCGCCGCCGCCACCACCACTACCACCACCACCACCACCACCACCAGACGGCGGCGGCGGCGGCGACTCGGGGGGCGCAGGTGCCACGGGGGCGTCGGGCTTGATGTTGCACACCCCGAGGATGCGCGACGAAACCTCGGCCCCGGCCCTGGCCGAGGCGCCCTGCGGGCCGCAGCGGGCTGCAAGGAGGCGTGATGGCTTAATGTCAATTGGGCCGGTGTGAGCGAGTTGAAACTGTTATCGCGCAAGCGGCACCGAGGATGGAGGAGGAGTTGCAGCCGCGCGCCCCCTGGCTGGCCTGGTATGGAGGGACCATGCACTTGACATCGTTTTAATCAAGAACGCCACGCTGGATCACTCGATGCGGCTGGGGGCTGGCGTTTGCAATGTTCAGCTGCATGGATTTGGTCGGTGTAGCAGCTGCACAGCACTGGTTGCGCGTGCAAGCACCGCGGCACTTCCATTGCCTGCGGGCTCACCATAGGCAAAGGAGCGAGCCTCCGTAATAACTGTGTGCGCGCAGGCAGACCGGGGCGAGCGGCGCACGCAGCTCAGCAGGCCATCTACAGTGTGACCCACACGGTGCCACCGGGTGGCAGGCTAGGTCACGCCACAAGAGGCGTCGATGTGAATTTGCGCGGTCTGCCTTGTGCTGCTGTTGACGACTGCCGCCACCGACCCAGACTGGGGCGTACATGCACTTTCCAGCAGCCATCACATGCACCAAAAGAGCTGAAGGCGGCAATCATGTCTCTCTGGCCTCTTGCCGTGCCAGAGCGCAGCCCCTGTCCCCTCGCTCTTCCGGCCAACCCCACAACCCCTTCTCACCCGTGCAGCCTGTCTTGGGGTCTTTGTTGATGGCAATGCTGAGCGCCTCGGCATACGCCTTCATGTGTGTTTGGTGTGTGTGGTGGCGGGGAAGAGCAAAGGGGCGCGGCGTGTATGGGGAGGAGGCTAGGGGGAGGGCGCAGGGGCCTGCTGTGTGTGTGGGTGCAATCGCCCAGAGCGCGGGCTATCGCCTCGTCCCGCAAAGAGATTGCGCGCCACGATTTCCTCACAAGTGGTTTGAAAGGAGTAATAATAATAATGAGTAGTACTAATTGCTTGAATCAGCGCACCACAAGCCCTCGGCAAGGCGTCCCCTTTTGTCAACGGCATCCCACTGACAAAGCGACTTCCCAGAACCTGCAGGGCCCCAGCCTAGCCTCAATCGTGTGCTCGTGCGTCAGCCAGCGCGCATAGCCATACACATGACATGTATTGTATGCAGCCGGTCCACCCATCAGCCCCTTCCCCCTGCTTCTCGAGCGCTTTCACCGACTGGTCAGCGCACCTCGGCGGCCGCACCGCCCTGGCAGAACACGGCAGCCGTGGCTTGGGCCAGGCCGGTTGCCTGGGCGCCGCCGGCGGATATGGCGGTGGCCATCGATGCGGCGTAGCTGCGGGGGACACAAGGTCAAAGAAGACCACAGAACAGGCCTGAGCTCAGCAGCAGAGCGCCGCTCAGCCACAGGGGTGGTAGCAGAGGCCCCTCCTCTCACCTCAGCTGCTGCAGCGGAATACCAATGGACACTACTGCTGGATCTGCTGGCAGCGGATCAGGCGCAAAGCCGGTGACACGAAATTTCAGCGGGCGAGCAGCCACTCGGCAGCTTTTTTGCCGCTCGCGGCCACACTCACGCGTCGCGAGCCTGGGTGCCGCCCTGCTGGATGGCACTGGCAACGGCCGAGGCGTAGGACTGCACAACGCCGCGCTGGCGGGCGGCTGCAAACCTGCAGGCATGGAAATGTTGGAGGGGGCGCTAGCTGTCACATCTCGTGAGAATTGATTTCTGTGTGCATGCTGGTTGCATGGTGTGGTCTGTGCTTGGCGGTTCAAGTGTGTGGGTGGCACCAAGGGCGCAGCAGGGGCTGCAGCCGCGCGCCTAACGGCAAGCTCAGCGAGGAGGGAGCGCTCACGCGAGGGACTGGCTCTGGGCAAAGCTCTGCGTGACACCCTGGCTGACGGCCTGGGTGGCCGTCTGGGCGAGCGCCTGGGAACGTCGGGCGGGGCGGGGCGGGGACGGCGGTCGGGGTGCGCGTGTTGGACCAGTGAGGCGTGTGATGAGGTTGACGGTCTGCCCAACACAGTCTGAGTTCAGGAGGAGGATGGTTGAACACCTCTGAAAATCATGGTTGTCAGCACATCAACAAGAGCAGTGATGCTTGCACATCAGTGGGGGGTACTCGTGCATTGATCACCATTTTGCAGCCTGCGCCCCCCCAAACCCATGGATGCCGTCTACACCCAATCCGCGGACCCATTCTGGCCCCAAACGCCACGCATGCTTGATCACGCCCACCCGCCCGCACCTGCGCGGCGGCCTGTGTGTTTTGGGCGGCCGCATCAGTCGAGGCGACGGCCACAGAGGCGGCCAGGGAGTTGGTGGTGCCCTGGCGCTCGGCCACGCTGAAGGCCTGGGCGGTCGCTGACGCAAAAGACTGCGTCGGAGGGGGGGGGCGCAGAGGCTAGGAAGGGGGCATGGGCGCGGCCGGCAGCGGGCAGGGCAAGCGTGTATTCCTAGACTGGGAAAATCGTTGGGGACATGACGATTTGCCCGTCATGGCGCTACCGCGAGCGAGACCACAAAGAGCGGATGCATCCGCCAGGCGCCGCGCGGATGTCAAAAACCGTTTTTGAGCATGTGACATGCTCTTTTTATGTCGGCCCCGTCATCCAATAGGAGCAGCTGGGGTCCATCCAGGCGTGCGGTCTGTCATCCGCAGCCCCACCTGCGAAACGCCCTGGTTGACGCTCTGCACAAAGGACTGCGCCAGGACCTGGCTGGCCGCCACTGGGTTGGACGCCGCGCTCTGGGCGGTGGCCTGCGCAACACCACGCACAGACAGGCAGCCGATATGGAAGACGGCGGGGTGGGAGTGAGGCTGGGTGCGGGACTGGTGTGGAGGGGGGTGCTGGGGACGCAACCGACGAGGGATGCACAGCACAGGTGTGTGGGCGCGCGCGGCTTCGGGTTGATCCAGGGCAGTGAGGACGGCAGCACCGCCTTGACACGCAATTTCACTCAGTCCCCATGCAGTGGTGGGTGGAATGCACAGCCCCCGTCTTTGAACACGCCCCTGATTTCGAACAACTTGAAGGGTGCCCCCCGCTCACCTGCGCCACGGCCTGCGTGACCTGCGTGGTCGTCCCCGCCTGCTGCGCCGCCGACAGCGCCTGCGCCTGCGCCGCCGCGAAGCTGGAGGTAGCGCCGCGCGCGACCGACGCGACGCCCGCGGAGGCGAGGACGTTGGCGGTGGCGTCGGGGTTCTTGGCGGCCGCCTGGGCGGTTGCCTGCGCGATGGAGTTGACGTTGCCGGACTGTGCGGCCTCGGCGACCGCGGCAGCCACCGCCTGGGTCGCCGCGCCGCCCCCGGCGGGAGCCGACGAGATGGCCTGGTGCGGGCAGAGTGGGGGGTGCCAGGGGGCTGCTTGAGGCACGCAGGGGCTGAGTCAGTGTTGCCAACCGTGCACCTGGGGCCAGGGTGATGTCAGTATTGGTTCAGTGCGGGCGTCACTATTACATGCGTCACTTATGGTATCCAACCATCGAAGACTGCCAGCCCACGACGGGGTCACAGCAGGAGAACCGCACACACAGATTCACAAAGCGGCAAGAGCGAGCTGCACACCTGAGCGGCTCCGGAGACCTCGCCAGACTGGAGGGAAGCGAGCGCCGCGGGCGCCGCCTGGGACGCGGAGGGCGCAGGGGAGGCGCCTGCAAGGGGGGCAAGGGATGTCTTGTTGGAGCCTGCGATTTTTGATCCGGGGACCAGGGTGCAACCAGCCATAGGGTAGTGACGGGATAGGGGCTGACGAGGCGGCCCTCAGAGGGCTGGTCGGAGCCTCTAGTGCTGCCTGCTGCTGGGGCCACAGCAAAGCCCGAGTGGCGCTCGGCGTGGGCGCCGCGATTCACCTGGGGAAGGTGAGGCGGACGCGTAGGGGTTGGGTGACCCTCCTTCCGTGGACGGGGAGGCGCCCGGGGCCGGGGAGGGCGATGCGCCGGGTGAGGGGGATGGGGACTCTCCTGTGGCATCGCAGGCGACGGGGCGAGAGTGGCGGGCTGAGCAGCGTGAGCCAGCGAGGCGGCGCTGCCGAGTCTGCTCGAGGCGTGAGCGGGCACTTTGGGTGGCGAACGCTTGAGGCGCGTGACGTTTGTCACAGAATGATGGGCGTGAGCTGCCTCGGGGCACTGGGCAGCCCGCTGAATCAAGGGAGGGGTGAACTCACCGGCCTGCGGGGACGGAGAGGGCGATTCGCCGGCGGCGGGGGAGGGCGAGGGCGATTCGCCGGCGGAGGGGGAGGGGGACGGTGACTCGCCTCCAGCAGCCGGGGAGGGAGATGGTGACTCTCCAGCGCTCGGCGAGGGGGACGGCGACGCGCCGCCGGAGGGAGAAGGGGATGGCGACTCTCCGGCAGCGGGGGAGGGCGAGGGAGATTCGCCCCCAGAGGGAGAAGGGGATGGGGACTCGCCAGCTGCGGGGGAGGGAGATGGTGACTCTCCAGCTGCCGGAGACGGTGAGGGCGACTCCTCTCTGGTGCCAAACACGTCTTCTGCGGCTTGAGGGCGGCCCCTCGATCCTGGCGGGCCCTGAGGTCCGCCCCCACCACCGCGGCCTTGCAGCAGCGCACGAGCGGCGGTTGCGGCGCGGCCTGCGGACGCAAAATATCGAAACGGCGTGTATACGACTGCCCTTGGTGCGATGTGTGGTATGAACGAGGTGCGCCCTGCGTTCCACAACGCATTTTTGCGCTGGAACGGCTCTCGACTCCACGGCGCGCTCGCTGGGCTCGCGTCGTGTCTTGAATGCGCAATATACCAGGTATAAGATCCTCCGCTTTACAAACGAGGTCATGCCCTCGCACATTCTCGCACCTGGCGGGGCGGGTCGTGCGATGGCGCCGCGGGCAGCGATACCCAGCAGCATCACCACCGCTATCATCGCCGCCATGGGGCGGCACCGTGCGCTCTGCTGCCTCACCATCGTTGCGGTAGGGCCCGCGGCCAGGGTTCAGGTGGATCGCGCGGTCCAATGGGGGGTGAGATCACAGCGACCCCACGTCAGCACCAGGATCCAGGGGAACTTACTCAAGGACGATCAGGAAACGTATAAACAACTGTGCGGTGCGCTTGGCAAGCAAAGCTCCGCATTCCACATGACTGGCTGCCCGCGGCTTCCCGCCGCCGTCGCGTCGCCAAATCAGATCAAACTGCCACCTCCTGCGCGCAGGAGTGTGACCTCCTTGCTGGTGACTGGTTTGTTCCAGGGAGTCGGCCCGCGGGATCGCCGCCGCCATCTGCATCTCGCCCAGTGGGACCCACAATCACGCGCGGGGCAGCTTCGCACATCCACAGACGCTCTCATAAGTCAGCACGACAGTTCCAATTACTCTGGCAGCTCAACGCGTGACGTCACTCCGAGTAGAAGCCGTTGAACCCCAGCGCCCCCAGCAGCGCGTCCACCTCGTCATCGCCCCCCAGCTGCAGCGCCCGATTACGCAGGATGCGGAGCAGGTACGCGCGCCCCGCGCCCCAGCCCGCCGCGGCGGACGCGAGCTCCCCGCGCAGCGCGGCGACCTCCAGCGCCGTCGCCGCCGCCGCAGCCCCCGCCATCCCGTCGTCTGGCACCTGTTCCCGCCCCTGCTGCTGCCGCCCCTGCTGCTGCTGCTGCTGCTGCTCCTGCTGCCGCCCCTGCTGCTGCTGCTGCTGCTGCGGGCGCCTGGTCCGAAGCCCCCCGGGCCTGCTGCCGTCGTCCGCCGCCGCCGCCTGCGCCCGCAGCTCTAGCAGCCGTCTGTGCGCGCGGCACGCCCTGAGGGCGACGTCCGCCAGCTGCAGCAGCGTCAGCCCGATGTGGCGCCACGTCGCGCCGCGGCCGCGCCCGGCGCCCTGGCAGCACTGGCGCAGCACGGCTTCCTGGAAGGCCGCGTGGGAGCGCCGCACCTCGTCCAAAGACGACGCGGCCGCCAGGCCCTGCGGCGACGCGGGGCAGGGTTTGCGCGGGCAGCGCGGCGCAGCGCTTGAGGGGAAGGGGGAGGGAGGGCGACGGCGCAGACCCTCGAGAGAGGTCCCGCGCGAACTCAGGCTGCTGCGCCGCCCCGAGCGCCAGGGCACTCTCCGGGGCGTGTGGCATGACCCTCGGCCCCTCTTGCCCCTCCTGATGGGGCCCCGCGGCAGCAGTTGTCCGCGATTTGCCCTCCCCCTGGGTCGCCGCCACCGCGGGGCCCCGCCGCAGCCGCGCACCTGCTCCAGGTCTGCCCAGGCGCCGTGCGCCAGCCGGTCCATCACATACTGCTGCAGCGCCCCCAGCAGGTGCCCCATCTCCAGCAGAAACAGGTGCTCCCCCGCAACCCCCAGCCACCGCCCCGCCGCCGCCGCCGCGGCCGCGCCTGCGGCCGCAACTCCTCCTCCGCCGCCGGCCGCCGCCGCGGCGCCCTGCGCGGCCATGTGCCGCGCGCGGGAC